TGTGAGAAAAAGAAATATAATTCTCTTATCAGGAGACACACACACCAACACACACACACACACACACACACACACACACACACACACACACACACCAGGAAGCCTTAGCATAGTACCAATGCAGCCTATTTCAAGACTTTGGGTATAATACATTTCATTATTCCTTCAACTGAGGAATGAATTATTGGGCATTAATAAACCAATGTGATCCACTCCTTAGATGGAAAACTGTTGATTTTATCTGTTCATTAGTTGCTGTATTACTTTATTTCTGCCTTTCAAAATAGAGAAGAAAAGTTGTGTAAAAAAACAAAAGTAATTAGTGAGATGACTAAATTCAAAATAGAATACTTCCAAATTGGAAAAATAACCTACTCAACTTGCCACACCAAAGATACCAGATTAGTTATTCTTCCTTTTTACCTAATACAGATATCCAGGTGATAATTATTTTATTCAATTACTTTGACATATAAAGTACATGAATGATTTGTGTTAAAAATGCAATTTAAATGTAATAAAATTTTACAGGTTCTATAAATTTTGTTTTCCAAATTATGCTATTAAAATTTTCCTAAAGGAAAAAAGATGTTCAATTTTCTTTTCCAAAGAAAATAATCAAAATAGTTCCCTCCCAGTTCAGTCATGCAGGCATGTTATTGTTACAAACTTGGGCCCACAAAACAAATCAAGAGTGTTTCCCTTGCGCTCTTAAGAGTTTTCAGAAATCTTTTTCAGTATTTCCCAATGTGTGGTTTGTGAGTTATTAATGGTTTCATGGAGACCAAATTTTATTTTTGTTTTTTAGTGTTGAAAGTGTTATCACTCAGCCCAAGATATCTTGGTAGCTTCTTGCAGGGAAGGTCTATATGTTGCTTCCACTAACTACATATGCATCATAGGCTGGCTTGCAGTCTTGCTTCTTGTTGCCTGACACCTGGATGCAGACTGACTAAGCGGCTTGCATCTTAATGATTGCCAGTCATTTTCACAAGGAGGTAAAAAGCTATGTAGGATCTTTAAAAAAAAAAACATTTTATTTATTTATTTATTCATGAGAGACACAGAGAGAGACAGAAACATTGGTAGAGGGATAAGCAGGCTCCGTGCAGGGAGCCCGATGTGGGACTCAATCCCAGACCCTGGGATCACGCCCTGAGCCAAAGGCAGACGCTCAACAGCTGAGCCACCCAGGTGTCCCGCTATGTAGGGTGTTAATGGACATTTTTGTAATCTGACCAGAAGTGATATATATTACTTTCACTTTCTATGACTCTTTGGCTAGAAATTGTCACATGACCTCATCCAGCCACAAAAAAGTAAAGAAGAATGATCCACTATGTACCTGGAAGGCAGAGAGCTGGAGCTATTTGCTTAATAGGATTACTTTAGGGGTTGGAATAGCTGACACATGGAGGCAGAGTATGTCTCAAATGATCACTATGGTGGCCTGTGGCTAAATTGCCTTACCCCTGGATCTATTCAAACTAAAATCATGGACTTGCTTGATGATCCCATTGGTTTTCTCTCATGGATATTTTTGGTTTAAGACAAACACCCTTCTAGCTACTGATGAGGTCATGATGGAGGAAACATGCTATAGTTTTCTATGATATAGTCACTGTATCATTTATTAGGTTATTCATTCTTTCATGTTTAATGTGTAATGGACTCATAGTATATGTTATGCATATAGATTACAACAGTAAACAGAAAACAGTTTCCATTATTAAATAGCATACAGTCTAATCATATAAGCTAAAAGGAATAAAAATATAGTGCCCCATGATGGAAAAAATAACAGATATCTCTGTGAACATGTATCACAGTTTTGGGGGCTAGGGAAGGCTTCTTGTAGGAAGTGATATATGAACTGAGACCTATGAGTAGGACTTAAAGAAAAAAGTAAAAGATGTCATAGCCAAGGGAATATTTCTTAAGTGAAAAGACATTTAAGAGTGTTTTCAAGTAGTCCACAAAGACTACATAGTTTGGGTATAAAGATGGTATTTTGAAAGTCAAATTAAAGAGCATAGAGTATCCTGAGGACAGTAAGAAACATTTGAATGGTTTTAGGCAACAATGTAATGTATTTATTTCACATTAATGCTCCTATGAAACTACATGCTCTTCTAAGCACTGCAAATATTGATTTTATTAATCCCCCAAAGAACCCTATGAAGTAGATAGTATCATTATTCCTTAAACAACTGAAGCTGAGGCACAGACAGGTGAACACTTTACCTAAGTTGCACTGGGCGAGTCAATGACAGGGCAAGGATTTAAATTCATGCATACTGCATCTCCCAAAATCGTAACAAATATGTCTTCCCCCCTTTCTCCTGTTGCATAGATGTAAATATGACTGAAACCAGCATACAAATGGTTTGTAAAAAGAGGCAGGTAAGATTTAAGGTAGAACATCCATTAAGTGGCATTATTATAATTTAGACAAGAGATGAGACGGGGTGACAATAGTGCTACTATCACATGACATCCTTCCTAAGCTTGCAAAGTGCTTTTAAAACTGATGGACATTCCTTTAGGCACCAGAAGGAACAGGCACTTATCACGGGTGATTCAGTCAGAGATGCCTCATGGGTATATCAATTATAAAGCAATCTTCATTTTACTTAGTTTTTGTAAGTGAACTCAACCTTAATAGGAATTTAAATCATTCTATTAATGGAAGTATGGATTTCCAAGCTTCAAAACATCAGATTTAGTGTGAGTTTAATAATTTATTAAATGTGGATAGATATTTGCATAATTTAATTTCCTATCTTCCACATTAAAGAGAATTATAATGCTTAATTTTTTTTTTTACTTTTGCCCAATCAAGTAGAGAATAAAAAGTGTTATTAATATATGATATAATCGTAATAATTTTTTATAAGAAAAATTTATTGTACTGAAATCTTGAGAACGCTTGAAATGCAAGCATTATACAACCAGGTAGAGAGAATGCTTCATAATGTGTCCATTTTCTTTAGAATGCATTGCTTTTGTTTGGATTTCATTTTTCAAACAATTCATTCTTTAAAAATACTTAAAAATCAAACACAATTCTTAGATTATTGGTAATGTTCCTATTACTATTATATCTTTAGTCTTTGTTTAATTTCATGCCTTGTTCCAATTTATTGTTATTTGTTTAATGGCCTAGAATAGGGATATCTTAGTGAATGTTTTATATCCACTTAAAAATATATGTTTTCTGCAGTTATTTGTTGGAGTGTTCTATCATCTCCAATTGACAGTGGTAATTCTATTTTTTTTTTTATGACAGTGGTAATTCTAATCATTTATATCCCTACTGAGTTTATGACTGCTTGTTCTGGTGATTCTTAAGAGAGAGGTTAAAATTTGAAACTGTAATTTTGCCATTTCTCCTTTTAGTTCTACCAGTTTTTACTAAATGTACTTTGAAGCCGTGCTATGAATTTTATCCATAGTTAAAATTGTTATGTTCTCTTGATGAATTCTCTTTTATCGCCATAAAATGACTATTTTTATCTCTGATATCTACTTTGATGTAAATGTAGCCACTTCATCTTATCTTTTTCCATCTTTTATTTTCAACCTGAGTTCTTATTTTCAAATGAGTAGACAGCATATGGTTAAGTCTTGCTTTTGTTTATCAAATCTAGTAATTTCTACCTTTTAATTTTAACCATTTACATTTAATATTTTGATTGCTATCATTGGGTTTAAATCTACCATTTTGAAAAAAAAATCTACCATTTTGGTATTGGTTTTCTATTTATTCCATGTATATTTTGGTTTTTTTTTTGTTCCTATCTCCTTGCTTCCTTTTATATTAAATTTTTTTTAAATAAAACCAAACGTTTATTTACACCAAAGAATTCCAACACTGGATCTTTCACATATGAAGGACAAAGTATTATATATATACACACAGCAAGGGGTGGCAGGGCTGGAACAAGAGTTTATAGTTTTCCCACCATTACAGGTCTACCATTTCAGTTCCACTGGAGATAGTGGCTCTGCTCCTACCTCTCAGATACATTTACAAGACTGAGGGGCAGGTCTTCTCACTGGATGGCATGTGAAGGAAGGGGAAGAAAGGAATAAAAGAAGGTAGAAAGCTTAAGATGAAACTCGGTGTGGCCACATCTTCCATTAGCTCTTAAAGAGTTGCTAGCATGAAACCTATATAGACAATGTTTTTCTTTTGTAAAAAGCAATAAGTTAAGCCCAGTAACTAACTGAATTCAAAATGGCCAAGTCAAAGAAAACTGAAAAAGGTTTTTCCTCCCCCTCCCACCAGCTATAGCACATGTGAGGAGATGAAAGGGGAGGGGACAGAGATAAGGAGCCTGGGAAGGAAGGTATTAGAATTTTAAACTGAACTGAAACTAAAAGTAGAAGTGAGTTGGATTTAGGGTTAGGTCAGTAAGACATGATTCATACTGAAGAGAAGTTTTCAGGAACTCTCTGCACTTTGGGTAGATTTTCAGCATCTCAATGAAACTAAGACATATTTCCACTAGATTTACCAGGACAACCCCACTGAAGCACTGGAAGTAAAGTGAGAAAAGTGACCAGCAGTACACTGCTCTTATAGGTTGGATCCTCCCTTCCTCCTTCCTTCCCACTTCCCTTGAAGAAGCTACATTTTTGTAATCTCTGGAGAAGAGTATGAGATATAAACCCCCCAAAGTGTGGGATGGTGGGGGAGCAATGGTGCACATGGGAAGATATCTCCACCCAAATGCAGCAGCCAGGATTGAGGCTGGTTCATCGGTTCATCTTTGTTCTTTAGTGATGAGAAACTGAATTTGAAAGGGGGGAAAAGTTTTGTCTGTGAAATATTCCACCTGCAGGTAATTTTTCAGGGAATCCCCTGAGTTATGAAAAGTTTGAGTTTAAAAAAAAAAGGAAAAAAAAAGAAAATCAGCCTATTATATATATATATTTTTAAATGACTGAACTACTATAAATCCACAAGCAGCGGTTCAGACACGGTGCTTCTGAAGTAATTCACCCCTCCCTGCCAGGCGCAAGCTGCATCAAGGAGAGCGTGGACTCCCCCACCTCTGCTTAGGCATCAGGAGACAGAAGGGGCCATTACTGTTGAGCGCCAGCGGCAGCTGGAACGGGCATCCCAAGGGGGTTGGCAGCAGCAATCACTGGTGAGCCTGCCAGAGGTCCAAGGGGTGAAGGGGTTGGCACTGAAGAAATCCCTGACGTCATATTGGCGCTGCTGACAGGGGTACTGCCCCCTGGCATGCTACAACATTGAATTAGATCCATCCATGAGCCCATTCGAGCTTGGTCCTTCACAACAGTATAGAAATAGGGGTGCTCCATGGCCTCTCTTGCCGTAAGCCGTGACTGGTGGTCATATTGCAAAAGCTTGTCTAAGAAATCCAAGGCCTCAGGGCTGACAAAGTGTTGGTTTTCACTGTGGACGAAGCGTTCCCATCGCTTACGGGAGTGTCTGCCCAAGATATCATTGAAACGTGGATCTAATTCAATGTTGTATTTGTCAATATAGTCATATAAATCTTCGGTCCCCAGAACCTTGGCTGTCCTCACCAACTGATCATAATTGTCATGTCCATGGAAAAAAGGCTCCTTCCGGAAGATCATACTTGCCAGCATACAACCCCAGGTCCACATATCCAAACTATAATGGTACATCTGATAGTCTACGAGTAGCTCAGGACCTTTGAAGTATCGGGAAGCAACTCTGACATCATATTCTTGGCCAGGATGGTAAAACTCAGCCAAACCCCAGGCTATTGGTCGTAGCTCTCTGTGCTCATGATCAATCCTGACATTGTGGGGCTTCACATCTCTATGCTTAATTCCCACGCTGCGACAATAATCCAGGGCCTTCGGAATCTCATACATGTGAAATCGCATATCATAGTCTGTTAACGCCTGGTACAATTGCTTGAAGTCTGTGTTGTTTACGTGTTCGAAAAACCAAGGCAGGGGTTCGTGACACAGGGTCTTTTACAACGTGTGCCAGTGTGATGATATTGGGACCGCCTCGTAAATTCTCCAGAATCGTTATTTCACGCTCGATTTTCTTCTTCTTTCCTGGCTTGAGAATTTTAACGACAACTTTTTCATAATTTGTGATGTTGATGGCTTCACACTCTTCACTGTCTTTACCCCGGCCTAGTTTTCGAACCAGCTGGTAGACATCTTGATTACCCCACTCCACCGCGTGGGACTCATAATCCCAGTACTCTCGGCGTCCGTGCCTATTAACCGCTGTGTGACCTCTGGCCCTGCCGGGGCACGGTCCGACATGTCAGGCAGGTTGGCGAACGAAGGTGGACTTGGTGTTTGGAGATCTGGCGGCCACTGTGTTCAGAAGCAGTTGGGGGTAAGACTTTGTTTCTGACCTGTTTTCTTTATAAACTGTGGTGGAAGCGGCGGCGGCGGCGGCGGCCGCGCTCCCCTCTCCTCACACAGACAATATGGCGGCGGCGGCGGCGGCCCCGCTCCCCTCTCCTCACACAGACAATATGGCGGCGGCGGCGGCGGCCGCGCTCCCCTCTCCTCACACAGACAATATGGCGGCGGCGGCGGCGGCGGAGACACACGGCTCGGCCGCCAGCCGCCGGCGCAGGGACCAGAGCGAGGCTCTACATTAAATTTTTTTACATTCTGTTTTATCTCCACTGTTGAATTAGTAACAGTGCCTCATTTTTTCCAGTGCTTGCTCTAACAGTTACAACATGCATCTTTATCACAGTCTACATTCAAATAGTATTGCATAATTTCACATACAGTATAAGAAATTTAAAATAGAAAAAAAAAAAGAAATTTAAAATAGTATATTTCCAGGGTTTCCTTGCCGGCTTTCTGCTACTGTTTACTTCTATGCTCATTATAAATGCCACGCTATATTGTAATTATTTATGCTCTAGTCTTTTAAGGTATTTTTTTTAAATTTATTTTATTTATGATAGTCACACAGAGAGAGAGAGAGAGAGAGAGGCAGAGACACAGGCAGAGGGAGAAGCAGGCTCCATGCACCGGGAGCCCGACGTGGGATTCGATCCCGGGTCTCCAGGATCGCGCCCTGGGCCAAAGGCAGGCGCCAAACCGCTGCGCCACCCAGGGATCCCTTAAGGTTTTTATTTAAAAAGAGTTCAAGAATACCTTTTTATACTTCCTGTTACTCCTGTTCTTTGTTCCTTTGTGTAGATCCAAATTTTTATCTGGTATCATTTTTCTTTTATATGAAGAAGTTCTTTTAATATTTCTTGTAGTGCTGGTTAGTTGTTGATAAATTCTCTTTTTGTATGCTCGGCACTCATTGTTTTGTCTTTATTTTTTTTTTTTAATTTAAATTCAGTTTGCTAACATATAGTATAGCACCCAGTGCTCATCACATCATGTGCCCTCCTTAATGCCTATCACCCAGTTACCCCATCTCCCCACCTACCTCCCCTTCAGCAACCGTCAGTTTGTTTCCCAGAGTTAAGAGTCTCTCATGGTCTGTCTTCCTCTCTGATTTTTCCCCATTCAGTCTCCCCTCCTTCTCTTATTGTCCCTTGAACTATTTCTTATATTCCACATTTGAATGAAACTATATAACAATTGTTTTTCTCTGATTGAATTATTTCACTAAGCATGATACCCTCCAGTTCATCCACATAGATGTAAATGGTAATTATTCATCCTTTCTGGGGGCTGAGTAATATTCCATTATATATACCGCAACTTCTTTATCCATTCGTCTGTTGAAGGACATCTTGGTTCCTTCCATAGTTTAGTTATTGTGGACATTGCTGCTATGAACATCCAGGTGCAGGTGTCCTGTTGTTTCACTACATCTGTTTCTTTGGGGTAAATACCTAGTAGTGCAATTGTTGGGTCATAGGGTAGCTCTGTTTTTAATTTCCTGAGGAACCTCCACACTGTTTTTTCAAGGTGGCTACATCAGCTTGCATTCACACCAAGGGTATAAGAGAGTTCTCTTTTCTCCACATCCTCTACAACATTTGTTTCCTATCTTGTTAATCTTTAAAAAGTATTTGCACACATATAGGATTCTAGGAAGACTTTTTTTTTTTCTTTTGGTACTATAAATATATCACTCGATTTTTTTTTTTTCCTGCATGTGTTGTTTCTGCTGAGAAGTCTGATATCATTCTTTCCTTTGTTCCATTGTAGGGTAATGACTTTTGTCTGTGGCTGCTTTAAAGATTTTCTCTTTATCCCTGCTTTTCAACAATTTGATTTTTATGTGCCTTAGGATGCTTTTCTTGTTTTACTTGAAGTTTGTTGAGTGCCTTGGATCTGTGTATTTGTAGTTTTTATCAAATTTGCAAAATGCTGGCCATTATTTCATCATATATTTTCTGTTCCATTTACTCTTGTTTTATCGTTCTTTCCTTGGCCTTTGTAGTGACTTCACATGCTGTGCAGATGAATATTTAGCCAAAGACTCAAAGGAATTCCTCGGCTGATCTTTGAGCTTTCTCTCTGGGCACCTCCCTCAGCTCTGGTATTTTGCCTCACCCTGACCTCCCTGTCTCTCCACCTGTCTCTTGACTCTGTGAGAATGCTGACCTCTGTTTGGATTATTTTTCTCTGCACTATGCTCAGGAAATTCTTCTAGACAGGGAGCTGGTGCAAGGTTAGGGCTCGCTTTATTTGCTCCTCTTCTAGGGATTATTTTTCTGTGCTTTTGATTCAGTATCTGAAAACCTATGTTTCATACAGTTTGTCAGGTTTTCTAGTGGCTTAAGACAGGAAGAGAAGCTTGGTCCTTGTTACTCCATTATGATCAGAAACAGAATGATATGTATGCCTTGTTTTAAAATAAAGAATAATGTTTTATAGAGAGATTTTTCATTTCAGAGATGGGTATGATATAATATGAAACAAGTTCATCCTAATTTTTGCATTTACATGACTTACATTATTTTATGTGACTTACATGATTTTACAGATGCAGGGAAATTGTGATATATGGCATACTTGTTTCATACAGCTATATCTGTGTAGAAGGACGAGGCAAACACAATAAACATGTGCATCATAAAAAGCTTTTTCATGGAAAAGCATCATTAAATTGACCTTGCATGCTTAATCCGAAACTAGCCATGGCTTAAATTATAGCCATTTAAAATTTTAACAACTAGTTTGTTAAATTCTGGCTTCCACAAGTAAAATTCCCAGTGCTTTGGGTTAGTTTCACCCAATACATTCAATCAGTATAGGCAATTTGCATTGCCAAACATACGGTTGGCCCCTTTTGTATACAAAAGATTACGAAAATAATTCTTGGTTATAATACCAAGTAACACTTAGGTTCAGTATGTGATCTTGTATACTCTGGAAGAGGCACATGAAAAGTCAAAACTGTTTCTTACAAGAATGCAAAATATATTCAGGAAGTCTAGGGCCTTATTTTTATTCAATTATTTAAACAATTTTATTATGATAGAATAATAGAGCATTTTAGTTACCTCTCACTCAGCACTTTTAGAGGGAAATAATATAAGGTAGCGTGACAGTACTAGCCAAAATGTTTTTCATTCCATTTTTTAAACTGGTACTTGTAAAGCAAAATTTGTACTGTGTTTTCATTTCTGATACTGATCACTATTTTCAAAAGAGACATGGTTCCAGCTAATTCTTAACCACAGTCTCCAGACACCTAGAGGAAGTGTGGATCTGCCAATACAGGAATACTTCTGGATGAAATATATCCAGTGAATGTTATGTAGTAAACAAAAAGAATAATAATCAAGAATATGTTTTTATATGTCTAGGTAGAAATGCATATATACCTTTTTATGCCCCTTTGTAGATAAACAAATGATGGACCCCTCTAAAGAGTTGAAAAATATGAGATTCCATGTCTGCAATTACAATGGATTCTAGAATAGCAAATCTTTCTAAACTTTTAATTTTTCTCAACAAAGTATTATGAAAATTTTCAAGCTTACAGAAATATTGAAAGAATTTCAACCGTGAGCACTTATATATTTCCTACATAGTTTTTAAATTAACAATTGCTGTGTAATATATTTATCTTTTTATTCACCTATCAATTTTGGTCTTTGACACATTTCAAAGGAAGCTGAAAACAAATATTTGTTTTCTTCCTCCAAATATTTAAGCATATATTAGAGGCTCAATTTTTAAGTTTTCAGTATTGTACATATACTGTAATATATAAAGCACTTTCTTTGATATAATTTTTTGGCACAATGAGAATAAAAAATGACTAGATAATATAAGTAACATTATGAGCATTAACAACCTTGAGAAATTAAAAACACATTCCAGTGACAGTCATTCCATTATGATTATGCTTCTCCAGTGACTACAATATTTTCCTTTTAATGCCTCTAGTTTCTTGAATCTATAGTTATTTTTATGATCGAATTAGTGAAACTTTCCTTAGATTGGAAAATATTTTTAGATTCTTTCCTCTGGTTTTGGTTCCTTCACTTCAAAAAAAAAAATAGTCGAATTGGGTAATCTCAAATAGCTTTCCCAAGCTTGGTATTCTATGATCCTTATTCTTCTTTTCCTAGCTTATCAGGTATATTATGCTGTGACTTATGAAAGCAAATAATTTGGGGCTTCTTCAAACTACTGTTCTTTTTTTAAAAAATATTTATTTATTCATTCATTCATTCATTCAAGAGGCAGAGACACAGGCAGAGGGAGAAGCGGGCTCCCTGCAGGGAGCCCAATGTGGGACTTGATCCTGGACCCCAGGATTCATGCCCTGAACCAAAGGCAGACACTCAAACCGCTGAGCCACCAAGGCATCCACAAACTACTGTTCTTTAAGTCTATATTCAAAATGTATTCGGTGAGGGGTAGTGAGGAATTGCTTTTCCACTAATAAGCATTTTATACAAAGTTACTTGCTCATTAATATTTCTATTCACCAAACATTGTCTATAAAACTTCAGAAAAAATCTTTTCCTACTTGTCTGTAGCTTTTGTTCTGTCTTTACTTATGCAATTCTTTTCAAAGCAGGTGAGTTTTTGAGAGCCATATGAAGGAG